TCCCGGCACCTATTTATACTATAGTCGCACCGGTAGTGACGTCATGGCTGTCGCCGGCCAACAAGTTGGTGTTTTTTCAATGTATGCTTCAGACACGGGTCACGACGAGGCGTTCCCCATAGCGACCCCTAGAGGACGCAGTGTCTCGTTCCCATGAAAGGGAACCAAAAGCTTCTGGGCAGTAAAGAAAATGACACGTCACATACTGCAATCTTATGCTTTGTATGTGCATCTGTATTTGTAGATGTTTCACTAATGACCTTTCATGATCTATGAATCAGTGTATTTCAGTTTCTCATGTTATTTGAGCTGTAATGCTTGTGCAGAAGACGGAGGTTAAAATCTGACTTGTTGTGTCATGAACCCATGAACACTATCAATTGGTTGACATGGCAAAAAAAATAAATAAATTGGTTTTAATTTTTTACCATGTAAATCCATTGCATTAAGTAAGTTGAAGTCTACAGGATGTTTTAAAATGCTGACATTTGCTTTGCTTTAGTAACAGCCATTGACTCTACTGCAGTAATTATAGAATGTGTGCCATTGTTTTTTCAGGAGCCAAGTTTCCCATTAAGTGGACTGCACCAGAAGCAGCGCTGTACGGCCGATTCACCATCAAATCTGACGTCTGGTCCTTCGGTATCCTGCTAACTGAGCTGGTGACCAAGGGCAGAGTGCCATATCCAGGTGAGAAATATTACATTTGATTCAGCAGTAATTTATTTTTTCCTCGCACTCTTTTATTTTAGGATGATTACATTTTATATGCTTTTGAGGTAGACTTCCATGCATATTTACATCATCGTTATTTACTCACCCTCATGTCGTTCAAAACCTGAATGAATGAAGATATTTTAAAGAAATCTGAGGGGTTTCTGTCAAACTTAGAAGATCCATAAAGCAGTGATAAAATGAATCCATATGAATTGAGCCGTCCAATCAAAGTCTTTTGAAGAGAGATGATTGCTTTGTATGATGAACAGAATTATTTTAGGTTTTATTTATATTTAAACAACGATCAACGCACATACATAAAGTATATTACATATGGTAAACACGTAAGCTCAAACATGCGTGTGTGATGCACAAGAACAAATGAGGTATGCTTTAGCGTGTGACGTATGTATTTTATATGTGAATAAATGCCTAAATTAAATCTTCATCTTATAAACCAATAATATTTCTTCACAAGACTGGGATTAAACCAATTGATTCATATGGATTTATTTTACAACAACTTTATGACCTTTTTGGATGTCAGTTTTGCTTACCTGGACTTTCAGTGGAGGGACAGAAACTTCTCAGGTTTCATTAAAAATATCTTAATTTGTATTTCAAAGATTAACCAAAGTCTAATGGGCTTGAAAAAACATGATAACAGAAATCTCATATTTGGGTGATCTACCCCTTTAATATCATGCACAACCAGTGTATGTGCTCCAGACACACCTGAACCAGCTAATCATGTTCTTCAGGTTTACTCAAAAATTACAGGCAGGTGTGTTTAAGCAGGGTTGGGATCCAACAGACCTGCAGGTAGATAGAGCTCCAAACTGAGAGGTGCGAATTCCACTGTGCCCCCTACTGGAGCAGAGAGGGACTGCTGGGTGTGTTATTACTGCTCCAAAGGAGCCATCTGGCTTAGGCGGGAGGGCATGAAGGACTGACTGGGCACCAGTTCTTATTTACCACCATCTGTCTGTTCCCTTCCTGCACTCGTCCCTCACACGGCCCAGTCTGTCATTTGTAATGTTTACCTAAAGCCTCTCACTGATGCTGCACATCACAAACCCAGTTAGGCTTTCATCAATCGTTCAGTCGTACACTATTAGAGTCAGTCCATTATTGATGGGCATCTGCTTCCATGCTGGATTAATGCAGCAACTTCGCTCAAGTGCCAACAGTGTGGCTTAGTGGTTAAAGAACTGGGCTGTTTGCCAAAAGCTTGTAGGTTTGAACCCCAGTAATAGAGATCCTTAAAGGGGTCATATGATGCTGCTAAAAAGAACATTATTTTGTGTATTTGGTGTAATGAAATGTGTTTATGCGGTTTAAAGTAAAAAAAAACACATTATTTTCCACATACTGTACATTATTGTTTCTCCTCTATGCCCCGCCTTTTTGAAACGCGTCGATCTTTACAAAGCTCAACGTTCTGAAAAAGCGAGGTGTGCTGTGATTGGCCAGCTATCCAGTGCGCTGTGATTGGCCGAAAACCTCAAGCGTGAGACGGAAATGTTACGCCCCTCACATACTGTGATGGCGTGTCCGGCCGGAGCGACGAGACAAAAACATTAAAATTGTCTCGTCGCATTAAAATTGTCTCCATTACAAACGAGGCATTTGTTGCATCCAGTGGGGACATAATTACTGATTGTAATGACTTATACTGTCTTTTTACGCGTTGCGTTGCATTGCATCGTGCCGCGTAAACATAAAACCCTGTCTTGTGATCAACAGATCTTCTTTATGCACCAAGAGCTTGTAACACTCCAAAGAGAAAGGAAAAAATTAAATCGCATCATATGACCCCTTTAAACGATCAGCATTTTAACCGCAGATGCCCTTGGATGTTAGTGTACACTGTTCGGCTATACAGGCTTGAATTATTTCATAGGTTTGATAGAGTGAAAGAGAAAGTTTATAATCTGTAATATGACAAAGCTTTGCCTTAATAGTCTTAAGCATTTCCATTCAAGCCACAACAGGAAGTCCAGTGGCTTTTTAACTTCCCAATTAACATAAGATTTATTGATTTGAATTTAGCACACATAAGCCTTATTGTTGTAAGTCATTTTGCAAGCGAGTGTAAATGAAGGTAGGCTGAGCTCAAAAAGGTCACTCAGTTTCTCACATGCATAAAGAATGTACATATGCGGCCCTTCCTCTGAGAGAGCTCTCGGATACAGTCGACCCACCGATTTACGCTTCCCGTTCTCTCACGTAGCACCAGGCTGTCTGTCCCCTCTGTCCTCAATGCTCCCGTCCTCTGTGGGTTTCAAGCGAAGTGTCCGCTGTAATTACACACCCCTCACATCCTGTCTGAGACAGTCTGGCAGCTGAACAGCTGGCGGTCGCACAAACTGACTCGGTATCCACTGTTTTTCAGGCATGGTGAACCGAGAGGTGTTGGAGCAGGTGGAGCGTGGCTACAGGATGCCGTGTCCTCAGGGCTGCCCGGAGTCGCTGCACGAAATGATGCGGCTCTGCTGGAAGAAGGAGCCAGACGAGCGGCCCACTTTCGAATACATCCAGTCCTTCCTGGAGGACTACTTCACTGCCACTGAGCCACAGTACCAGCCCGGAGACAACCTGTAGAGACCTTCTACGGGAGCCAGAGACTCACCACCACGTGCTAATAAGCCCCCGGGACGGTTCCCAAACCCATTGTGGCACCTCCTCCCTACAGCTCCCCTGCACACTTGTCCTTACAGAGATGTTTTTGTTTTTCCTTTACCCTCCCAGAGCCAAACTTAAAAACACGATTAGTGCATAAAACGTATCTTTTACAGCAGATACAGGCTGTTCTCTGCCTGAGGATGTGTGTGGTGGAGTTGACGAGGGTGTGTGTATGAGCGGGACCACATCACGCTCCCAGAGCTCTGCTGGGGTGATTCCCTGCATTGCAGACAGAGGGAGCTGTGAGACAAGCGATGAGCTTAGTGCTGATGGCTGGTTCACAGTTGCACAAAATCAGCTTTTACTTTATTTTTTTTTATCTATTTTTTTTTTTTCCTCCCTTTTGTCTGTTTCTTTTTATCTGAACACTAAATCTTATTGTAAAATCAGTCTTTATTATTTTAAAGTTGTTCATTTTTCTTTTTCCCCCTTTTTTATTTTATTTAGTAGTTTGAGTAGTTTATTAAAAGTGACCAATAACTGTGGTTGAATTGGTTGGCGCTACCAGTGACAGTTAGTGCCATTGTTGGGACGGGAAAGTGGAAGAAAGACAGAGAGAATGAGACGCATGAGGGCATTAGCCGTTCTGAATGTATGAGAGCTTGAGTTTGAGAATGATTTTAAAACATCAATTACAGGGGCAGACACACTAAAACACTTTTTTAAATAAGTACCTTCATTTCAGTTTCAATCAATCTCTATGAGAGCTTGAAATAATATCCTGGGAGATGATTCATATTGGAAGCCTTCACAAAACATTTCTGACTACTGATCGCCATTTCAGCCAGCTGCTAATTTTCAAGCAAAAAGTCATTGTTATAAATCGTATTTTTGTCTCGAAATATTTGATGGTAACTAAGCAGAGAGACCTTTGATTAATAAAACACTAGACCTGACCAGTCCAAACATCATTCCTCATGCTGCTGTTGAGACCTGACAAGTCTTAATATCCCAACAGCAATGCCCGAGTTGCTTTTTTTTATGCGTATCAGCACCCACACTGCCAGGTTTGTGTTTTTCGTACCAACACATTTGTAGTGTTGCCAACCACTTGGTACCAATTCATTGTTCTCTCATGTACACTCAAATAAATGAACCACAGAGATTTATTGATCTTTCACAGATTATTTCATACATAAATATTTCAGTATATCTCAAGAGAGCAGTGGTTTCTTCATCTTGACATACGAATGTGAATTTACTCAAATTATTTCACACAGATCTGTTTTGACTTTTTTGCAAGTTTCTTGACCAGGAATCAGAATTACAGAAACTCCATGATGTACCACGTTTGCTGCTGGTGGAGTTGTTACATTTCCTGTTTAGGCATCTATCACTGTGAAATATTCAGGTACTACAGATTAAGACCATTTAACAACCAAAGCTTGATGGAGTCGGTACAATTTGCCTTCCATCCTGAGCGCATAAAAAAAGTATGTGATTGATGTTTTCCTTGATCTGTTAAAATGGTACAAGTCTAATGGAGAGGACAAATTAGATCTCATCATACAGCCATACAATTTTTGCACCATTTCAGATTCAGTCCAGGAATCAGAATTACAGAAACTCCATGATGTACCACGTTTGCTGCTGGTGGAGTTGTTACATTTCCTGTTTAGGCATCTATCACTGTGAAATATTCAGGTACTACAGATTAAGACCATTTAACAACCAAAGCTTGATGGAGTCGGTACAATTTGCCTTCCATCCTGAGCGCATAAAAAAAGTATGTGATTGATGTTTTCCTTGATCTGTTAAAATGGTCTAATGGAGAGGACAAATTATATCTCATCATACAGCCATACAATTTTTGCACCATTTCAGATTCAGTCTTAATGGTTGGTCATGTACTGTCTATAACAGGTTCATTTCATCCATGACAAGGAATCGAATGCACTTGGGATGAATCGGACTGATATCTTTAGGAGGGCTAATTTGTTGGTTTCTTCTCCCTTTTATCGTGTAGCTTTTCATATATAGAGAGAGAGGCCTTGCGTTTGTCCTTCATTTATGTGAGCCCTTTGTCCTAGAGAATTTGTCTCCTCCTGTACCCAGGACATCAACTAGACATCTCTCCCATCACCACCTCCTGTTTTACAAGGGCTACAGGCAAGTTTGTGCAAAACTCTGTTATTGATTTTTGTTCTTTGTGTCAAAAAAAAAAAAAGAGAGAGAAGTACTCCAATGTAAGCTGAGGGTCTCCGCTGCAGAGTTTGATGAGGACATTAGTTGTGAAACAATGGTTACGATTACTAATCTGAAGAATTTGTACAGTAAAAAATAAAGTTTTACGTAATGCTTTTAACTCCATGTGGGTTATTTGTAAATCATGTGTTTGTGTTGTTCAGACTTCTGTGAAACACTTTCATCCCTGGAAAATGTAGGTAGATAGCATTTGGACTGGGACTGAACAGAAAAACGGGACTTTATAGTGCATAATCTGAATTTGAATCTTGCAATATCAGTGCATCTCTCACAATGTGGCTTTATTTCTTGTAAGTTTCTCACAATTACATTTTTTTTTTTTTTTACTCTGAGACAGAAGCAGCCATACATAGAAACATGCTCAAGAATTAAATGAAACATTTATAATGCTTTATACACATAAAGGCCTACTGATGTAATAAACTAGGACAGGGGTCACCAGGCTCGGTCCTCAAGAGCTGGTGTCCTGCAGAGATTAGCTCCAACTTGCCTCAACACACCTGCATGGAAGTTTCAAGTATACCTAGTAAGATTAGCTGAACCTTGATTAGCTGGTTCGGGTGTGTTTGATTAGGGTTGGAGCTAAACTCTGCAGGACACCGGCCCTCCAGGATCGAGTTTGGTGAGCCCTGAACTAGGAAATGGTTTTGCACTAAAAGTAAATTATTTACTATAAGTTGTGATTCAGTTATACTTGTTTACAATCACACAGTGATCTATTTTTTAATTATACCTTAAGTACATTTCTGACATACTGATGTTTAAGTCAATTAACAAGACATGTTACAAACGCAGCTAACTGGAACCTGTCACATGATAAGACCATAAATAAATGACAGTATTTCCCGTTACTTGATTTTTAAACTTAACACAATGCATAAAATATAAATATATATGATGATACCAGTGTACCCTGGTTAGTGCTGGGATGAAAGCTTATGACTTGTAGATTATATATACATCATCATGCCTAAAAAAAAAAAAATAAGGCAACAAGTTAGAGGCTAGTCCATTACCTACCTTTTTTTACATTTTAATTTAGAGCTTGTTCAGGTCATTTTAAAATATTAACCCTGTAAAGAGTACATAAAGTCAGATTTTTTTTTAAAGAAACCGTTTATTGAACCTTTTAACAAAAAAAACTTTTTTTTTTATTTCACGTCTTTTAATTAATTTATTTTTATATCATTTTTGATATGTCAGGCTTTAATGGGTCATATTTAGTATGATGAGACTAGCTATAAATTTTATTTAGGGGCCCAAACTGAGCAAAATTGTGCAATTTGGTGCAGCTGTTGTTATTTAAGTGGCCAAAAAGTAAGATTAAATTCTGATACCTTGTAATGTTTATTTTTAAAACCGTATAACAGAAGTATCAGCTGTTACACTATATGTCCCAAGGATATGGCTTCGTAAGATATTTAAATGCTTATTTTTATGCTCAGTGCTCTGTAGTTTTAATTTTGGGGGCAAACACAATGCAATGCAATACAGTACAATGATGATTGAGAGATGTGCAAATAAATGTTCCTCAAAAGCCTGTTGTATGATAATTGATACATACATTTTAGCACTATTTTTCTTAAACATTATTTATGGAAAATTTAACAAAACTAAGTTGATCAGACCAGTAAATTGTTATATTGAAATGTTAATAAAATATCAAAGTTATTCTTATATTTACTTTATAGAAATCATCAAAGATTTTTGACAAACATCTTTACAATTATACTCACAGTCCTTTTTCTTGCTAAAAAAAAAAAAAGTATGAACTATCAACAAGTTTTTCATCAATGTTTTGTCATTTTGATATTTTAGAGCCCTTAAAAATTCATGTATCATATATGATTCAGCAGGCTTGATAGGGTTAATAACAATTTAAATACTTTTAAGCATTAAATACTTTTAAGTAAGGCACCCTATAGACTCCTCGAGTCCCTGGTTGAGAATCCATGATTTATGTGATTAAACTGTGGGGTGTTCTCTTCATGGGATGTTAACTGTTCCTATGAAATGTGTGCTGATGAGTGTGAACTATTCTGACGTGCCTCATGATGTGATTAATTGGAAAGTGTCTCACCTGGCCATCTGCTTGTACATGCCCAGAGCCTCCTGTGTCACATACTGGATGAAGGCGGGATCCTGCAGCCTGAGACCCGCAGGAACGGTCAGGGTGAGAGTGGGGGAGTTGAGAATATTCACTTCCACTGTAGTGTCTGCTGCTGGGGTGTTGTCGCCCTCCTCAGTCTGTGCCACCACCTTGCTTTTTTTGGGATCAGTAGATTTAGTATATGTTTTTTCTCACCTACTGAATAATTGCCATATTCATGTAGCAAGGTATTTCAGTGAATTCCATGGTACTACAATGCTACATGTCCAAAATAGCACAGTATGGCAAAAAAAAAAAAATGGTAATACCATGATATTTTTTGTTAGTGTCTCACCGTGGCGATGCTGAAGATGCTCTCAGGAGTGGTGTTGTTATTGGCGAGCTCAGTCACCCAACCAAAGTCAGAGGCCATGTTGCTGAGCCAGCTGATGGTGTCATCAGTATGACGTTGCACGATGCCCAGCACTTCCTCGTACTGCTGCTTGGATGCTTCCAACAGCTGAGAGGCTTCATCCAACTCAATGTGCAGTTCTCTTACATTTGGGCATTCTGCGAATCAAACAGTGAGTACTTGAAATGATCAGTACCACTGGTAAGAGTTTTCTTAAAGGGACAGTTCACCCAAAAATGAAAATTCTGTCATCAATTCTGTAATCGCATGTTGTTCCAAACCTGCATGACTTCAGTTTTTCCATGGAACACAATGATTGTTCTTGAGCTCAATTTTTTCAATGAATCAGTTGAATCAGTTTCACTAACCAGCCTGAATTATTATTTCACAAATCAGATACATCTGTTAACTGATAATCAGATAACAGTTAGCAGTTAATAATGTCTTAATAAACAATGACTTAG